GGTTATTTCAAGTAAAAAGTCAAGCTGAGCAGAGCAAAGCACCGTTGCACTGTGGTTTAGAAGAGCTGCCCTCGCCTATCTTCTGGCCAATCCTTGGTCTAGCATGACTTGCGGAACATTCCAAGCAGTACTCGTAAAAATTAAGGGCACCGAGAGCCCTCTCGCGAAATCGGTGTAATATCCATAATAAGTAAGCAGACAACGAGCTGGACCGTTGGCTGAAATTGCAAAGGTTGATGCTACGTCAGGAAATATGTTGCGGATTTTCAGGAGTTCTCCCTAAAATTCTATAGCATTAAATGTAGTTTGTTGCAAGACTTATGGACCGACCTTCAATATTAAACATTGTCGCATGTGAGGTGGCCGAAGAAAAACCCATTGTGTTTGATAGATTTCTATATATTCCATCGCGAGGAAACATATTAGCACAATGACAGCTCAGAAATCTTCATGTACTTAACGTATCAATGTGCTGAAATGCCAGGTCGCTTCAGAACTTGTGTTTCGTGTTTTGTTTTTCTCTTTTGATACACTCTTTGTGGGCACATCCATGTGATGTATTAGTAAATAAATAAATAAATAAATAAATAAATAAAATAAATAAATAAATATCTTAACGGCAGTAGCCGAATCTACATCAGCCAAAAACTAGAAAGAAGTGAAAATGACGGCGTGTGTGAGCTTTGAAGCACAGTGACTGTCAAGTAACAGCAAAGTCCACTCTAAATTCGTAACTAACCAATAAACAGTTCCTCAGAAAAACTTCGCCAATACAGCTGCGCGTATCGATCGAGCAGAGCCATTGCCCGTCGCTTGTGCACTTTGCAAGCGATTGCGCAATCGCTTGCCAATCGCTCGACCAAGAGCGATTGGCAAGCGACGGACAAGCGATGGAGCGATCGCGATCGCTCCATCGCTTGTTCCGTCGCCGACTATGACGTCGGTCTTAGGTAGGCTGTATAAGGCTTCGTCTACTGGTCTACACTGCACGATGGAGCAACGATCCTCCTGCCCAGCTTTACTACCACTGAAGGTCATCATGGTATACCGGCCATTTCCAATGCAGTGTGCACGTTGCATATATACCCTGTTTGTTTATCTACTTTCTGAACTGAGTTAGGCCGGTGTCCCCTCCCTTAACTAGAATGGGCTACCTTCTAATCATTAACCCATTGGCGACAATGCGATTTTTCGCGTGTCTGCCACGTGGGACCACGCCTTTTTCAATATTTTCGAAAAATGCGTCATAATGCAGCAAACCACCGGCACCAAAAATATTGAATCTCAAAGCAGAAACTGTTGAGACTTTGCATGTCTCAAATTGTTGCCGATCGCTGCCAAAATGAGCGTAAATCTTTTCGTTTTGTCCAAGGTGGATTTCGCAGCGAGCCGGAAACACTTCAATTTTCTATTCTAAAATCCGTAAATTGGGTCGGATCCAGATCTCTTTTTGTGAAAAGTTGTATCACTACTCTAGCTAATGGAAAACAAAAAGCCAGCCTTATACATTCGAAAATAGCAAGCTTTCCCTTGAAAAATCACTTTCAAGATCCCCTTATGTAAAACATCAATTAGGAAAGATATGCAAGGACCATGATTACCATAAGTACTGCAACGCCTTGATTAATATGCCACTAAAATGATTTTGGAAAATCCGCGCAGAAGAATTATCTCTATGCTGCGTCTCCACATCGAGACGCAAGGTCCCCAAAGGGTTAACTCCGACTTTGGGACCGGCTTCAAGTAATACATAGGCTGGAGCTAAAAGAAAACTCATTGTATTCTCCAGTTCCTACATGTTTTTTGGCTGCGTCGACGAATTCTTGGACTACAGTTTGGATGCAACAAGGATGCACATGTGAATTCTCTGACTGCCGTCACAAGAGCTTTACGGTTGCTTCAAATTAAGAAAAAAGGACACTACAATTAAGAAATCTTCGCAAGCTCGAAAAAAGCAAAGATTTCCATTAAAAAGGAAAAACGACTTGAGAAACAAAGAAGATGAAAAAGAACGACAACGGAAGAGGATAGAACTTACCGCCACCAAACCAGAAGCGCCCTCAGCGATTACTTCTTCAATATTCTTTCCTTCTAGCCGTGAAATGACGAGCTTAGCAGCTTCAGCGTCAGTATCCACTCCGACAGCACCGAGGATGTTTTTTATATCATCTAACTAGAACGAAAACTTGGTACTCATGGTAGCAGTATAACTAATACTATATACGAACTTAACAAGCCGAATAACTAAAAAAAAAATACAAAATTGCTTATTAACAATTAATAAAGAGATGGGATTTCAACCGGAAAAACTGCAAGAGAAATGGTATACTACACAAAGAAACGATAAACGCTAAATTGCTAACCTGAAAATACAAACATTCAATTTTCTGAAAAATGGTATTTAAGATTTCCAAAAAGCGAGAAACATCTGAGTAAACCGCAACGCTACGATGTTCTCGAGCAGACCGGAAAGAAAAAGTTTCTTCCAAAGGACGAGGTAGTAGCACATTCAATTCAAAGAAACTACATAGCAGATTAATATGGTGCTAACTTAGTTGGGGGGGCACGCGGCGGCGCGGCAGTCTGCTCACCTGGGCTCTCTCGAGCGAGACAGTGTAAACTCGAACATTCCAGCTTTTCACGCATGTCAAGTGACTGCCCCCACCCCCCACCCCCTAGACTGGCTACACTCCCCCTGGCCCACGGATTTCCGAACATGCCAGGCGAGCAGACTGCCGCGCCGCCGCGTGCCCCCCCCCCCCAACTAAGTTAGCACCCGAATATTTCGCCACTGGTTCATATAGACAGTTACAGGAGAGCAGCAGTGGAAACAATGAGAGGGGACAAGTCCTTGGGGAGGAAAGAGAGCTCCGAAAGGCCATAATTGTAACACGAAAATCCCTTCTGCTTCTCCTACCTGATCACCGACGCCAGAGCTCCTCCTCCTGATATTTTTACCACCCGTGCTTAAAACTACTCGGTCGCACCATCCACTACCAAATTTTATATGACAAAAATTCAGGTCTATTCTAGTTAGGGGTATATTCAGGCGCAAGTTTTTCAGAAAGCTAGGGTAAATTCGAGCCAAGGGGGAGTGTAGCCAGTCTACGGGGTGAGGTGTGAGCACTAGTTCGCCGAGAGACTGCATAATGATGCCCCCGTAACTGCAACAGACCCAAAAACTCTAGAAACGGCGAATTCCTTGTGTAAAATTTAGATCGTAACGCGGTCTCCGCTACGACTCTTACCCCTCACCACTGAGTAGGCAGCGCCAACAGTTCTCTTAAGGCCTTCAATTGCCAGTTCTAGCATCACATGTGAAAAATTACAGAAGGAGAACATTACAATCCATGATGGTCTTTTCACAAGCAGAACGTCTTGAAACTAAAATTCTAGAAATCTCGCTAAAAAGAATTTCTTCCAAAACATTTCGTTTGCAGAAGACCGATGTGAGAATACCTTCTGAATAAAGGGAACAAAAAGATATAATATTTTAGGCCATATTAAAAATTAAGTCGGTTGTCAACAAACATGGGCGGACAACTCGTCCGGAAATTTGCGCAGCACGACCACGTTCGAAGGTGATGAACTAGTAGGTCTGATGAAAACGATTGCCAATGGTACAGCGGTACATATTTGAAATTTCTGGAAGAAAACTCCACTGGGATGTAGGCCAGCTTTCCTAAGAATTCCATGCAACTTAAGGACGACTCGGGTCGAAAAGCCGAGGGCGAGTTTGCCGTGAAGCAGTTTTCCGTGCGAGATACCGCGATGGTGTTTACTTTTGACCCTTTAATACTTTACCTCGTAAATTCAAATTTAATTGGATTAATTCCATTGTGCTCGTCTCTCCGGAAGTTGTTTAAAGCCCTATCCCTCTCGATTTCTTGGTGTTTTTTCCTAGGAGCACGTTCAAGTACCAAGTAGATTAAGTAACTTACGGTATGAGATCATTTTGGTGTGTCTTTACGGTTCTTTGGAAGCTTGACTTCTTCATATTTTTCAGGGTTAAGCCATGCTGCGTTATGCAGCTCATCGTGCGTTATCTTCAGCTGCTGCTCGTGCAGTTGAAGCATCACCTTCGACAACGGAACATAGTTTGGGATCAGGGTTTGATGTTGAAGAACCGGTAAGGTCTTATGGCTTTTAGAGTACCAATAGCATTAGTAGACACAATTATGTGGGTAGATGCTCGCTCTCAGTGCCCATGGTGAGTTGAGGTGGACCTTAACAGACTTGAATGTAACTGTAATGTAATGATACTGGTCTACCGGACGTTTCGGTACATATCTGCTGTTGTGTAGTTCTTCAAACGGACCAACAGTGTAAAAGAGTAAGCAAAGTCTGAAATATTTTCGATTGTATCTGTGTTAAAGTTTTTGGAAATGCCTTCCTAATTGCTAAGCTGCCGTCACAGCTCGTTGCAGGGTAGGAATGTCAGATTCCACATAAGAGCGGAGCATAAATGTGGTGACAAGATCATTTCATCCCAGTTCGAACCAGGAAGGTCGAACCAGAAGGTCGAACCATATTGGTCTTAGCGAAGTTCCTGACAGTTTCTGTCATTATGGATCTTCATGAACTTGAGAAGTTACTTTGAACGGACTTTACAGGCATCGTCCTGTACCTCGATAACATCCTTCGAAAGTCCTTCTCACACTTTCTGGTGAACATTTTTAACGCTCCATTTTTCCTGTGTTTATCCGCAATAGTCTTCAGCTTCAATACTCCCCACGCTGAATAATCCTTTGCTTCCAAGTTGGGGGATTGGGCTGGTGGACTTCGTGCGACATGAAATCGAGCAAATCAGTTCGTCATGAATGCATCAACGGCCGTGAGCCGACACTG